GAGGTGATATCTCAATGTTGTTTTGATTTGCATCTCTCTAATGGCTAATGGCACTCCTCGGAAGGAAGGTTGGGCAATCCTACTTCCGTAGTGATACTGCCTCGGAAACCCAAGGAGGGGTCGCTATGAGTCAGGTTTGACTCGACGGCACATAACAACAACAACAACAATGGCTAATGATTGCGAGCATTTCCTGTTGGGTTTGTTGGCCACCTGTGTATCTTCTTTTGTGAGGTGTCTGTTTATGTCCTTTGCCCATTTTTGAATTGGATTGTCTTTTTGGCATTGAGGTGTTGAGGTTTTCTATAAATTTTGGAGAAAAGTCCCTTGTCGGATACGTCATAGGCAAATATTTTTTTCCCAATCTGTAGGTTCTCTTTTTAACCCTTTTGCAGAAGTCTCTAGATGCACATAAAAATTTAATTTTTAAAAGGTCCCAGTCATCTAGTTTCTCTTCCTCTGCCTGTGCATTTTGGGTTATGCTTAATAGTCTATTTATGCCATAATTTAGGGCCCCTAGATTTACCCGTTTTATCTTTGATGAGCTTTATAGTTTTGTATTTTACATTTAAATCTTTGATCCAACTTGAGTTCGTTTTTGTGTATGGGGTGAGGTATGGGTCTTGTTTCATTTTTCTACTAGTGGATATCCAATTTTGCCAGCACTGTTTGTTAAAGAGGCTATCTCTTCCCCATTTAATGGGTTTTGGGCCTTTGTCAAAGATCATTGTCCATAGATGGATGGGTCTATTTCTGAGTTTTTAGTTCTGTTCCATTGGTCTATCTTTTTTTCATTGTACCAATACCACACTGTTTTGACTACTGTGGCTGTATAGTAGGTTTTGAGGTCTGCAAGTGTGAGACCTCCCCATAGTTACCTCTTCCCTGTGTCCTTTTCTCCCATGCACTTCTGCTCCCCAGCTGTCTCCCTGTGCATACACAGCCCTTCTATTCTCCCATGACCATCAACATTTTTTTAAGGACACAGAAAAACCAATCACTAATTTTATATGGAAAGGAAGTGGGAGGGGAGCTGTTGTATTGTGGGAAGTTGCAGTCAGTGTCATGAGAAAAAAATGTATGTGAGCTGCTCTATGAAAAATGAATTTGCTCTGTAAACTTTCATCCAAATCACGATAATTTTTTTTGAATGTTGATGGAATCTGAATCAGGATTGCATTAAATGTGTAGATTGCTTTGGGTAGTATGGACATTTTCACAATGTTTGGTCTTTCTATCCAGGAACAAGGCATGTTCTTCCATTTATGTAGATATCTTGTAGTTTCTTGTAGTAGTGTTTTGTAGTTTTCTTTGTATAGGTCTTTTGTGTCTCTGGTAAGATTTATTCCTAAGTATTTTGTCATTTTGGTAGGTATTGTGATGGCATTGTTTTCCTTATTTCCTTTTCAGAGGCTTCTTTGTTGATGTAGAGAAATCCAATTGATTTTTGTACGTTGACCTTGTATCCTGCCACTTTGCTGTACCTTTCTAGTCTAGTAAATTTTTTACTGAGTCTCTTGGGTTTTCTATGTATACTATCATGTCATCTGTGAATAGAGATAGTTTTACTTCTTATTTGCCGATTTGGATGCCTTTTATTTCTCTTTCTTGCCTTATTTCCCTGACCTAGGACTTCCAGTACAATGTTGAATAGGAGTGGTGGTAGAGGGCATCCTTTTCTGGTTCCCATTTGCAAGAGGAGTCTTTCTCCATTAACAATAATGTTGGCTGTTGGTTTTGCACATACGCCCTTTATTATGTTGAGGATTTTCTCTTCTATCCCTATTTTTCTGAGAGTTTTGAACAGGAATGGGTGTTGGATTTTATCAAATGCCTTTTCTGTGTTGATTAATATGATAATATAATTCTTTTCTTTTGCTTTGTTTATGTGGTGGATTACATTGATTGTTTTTCTGATATCAAAGCATCCTTGCATACCTGGTATGAATCCCAATTGGTCATGATGTGTTATGTTTTTGATATGTTGTTGGATTTTATTGGCTGAGATTTTGTTGAAGATTTTTAGGTCTATGTTCATGAAAGATATAGGTCTGTAGTTTTCCTTTTTAGTGGTGTCTTTCCCTCATTTTGGTATCAGTGTTATGCTTGCTTCATAAAATGAATTTGAGAGTATTCCATCATTTTCTATGTTCTGGAATAGTTTGAATAGTATAGATGTCAACTCTTCCCTGAACGTTTGGTAGAATTCTCCAGTGAAGCCATCTGGGCCAGGACTTTTTTGTGTGGGGAGTTTTTTATGACCTGCTCAATTTCTTCTTTTCTTATGGTTCTGTTCAAGTATTCTATCTCCAACTGGGATAGTTTAGGTAGGTCTTGTGTTTCTGAAAACTTGTCTATCTGTTTTAGTTTCTCAAATCTGTTGGAGTACAGCTCTTCATAATATTCTCATATTATCTTTTTTATTTCAGTTGGTTCTGTTGTGATGTGACTCTTTTCATTTATTATTCATGTTATTTGCATCCTCTTTCTTTTCCTTAGTTAAATTTGTCAGTGGTTTGTTGATTTTGTTACTCTTTTCAAAGAACCAGCTTTTTGTTTTGTTGATTTTCTCTATTTTTTTTTTGTTTGTTTTGTTTTCTGTTTCATTTATTTCTGCTCTGATTTTATTATTTTCTTACTTCTGGATATTGTAGGTTTCTTTTGTTTCTCTTTTTCTAATTGTTCAAGTTGTTGAATTAAAGCGTTGATTTTGATTCTTTCCTCTTTTTTGATGTGTGTATTGTTGTTGTCAATTGACCTCTGAGTACTGCTTTCACTGTGTCCCAAAGGTTTTGGTAAATTATATCTTCATTCTTGTTTGTTTCTAGGAATTTTTCATTTTCGCCTTTTATTTCTTCTATTACTCAGTAGTTTTTGAGCAGTGTATTATTCAGTTTCCACATATTTGATTTTTTTTCCTTGGTCTTCTTATTATTGATTTCTAATTTTATAGCGTTGTGATCCTAGAAGATGCTTTTTACTATTTCAATGTTATTTAATTTATTGAGGTTTGTTTTGTTTCCTAACCTATGTTCTATTCTGGAGAATGATCCATGTGCACTGGAGAAGAATGTGTATTGTTCTTTTGTTGGGTGGAGTGCTCTGTATATGTCTATGAGGTCAAGCTAATTGATTGTATTGTTGAGTTCTTCTGTATCTTTGTTAAGTTTTTTTTTGTAGTTGTTGTGTCTCTTCTTGAAAGTGGTGTGTTAAAGTCTCCTCCTATTACTTCAGAGTTGTCTATTTTTCTATTTATGATCACTTTGAATTATAGAATAATACTTAGTAGTGTTTATTATAAATTTTGGGAGCTCTGGTAGCATAGTGCCTAAGGCACTAGACTGGTGGTTCAAACCCACGAGCAACGCCTCGGAAGGAAGATGGGGCAATCTACTTCTGTAGTGATACTGCCTTGGCAACCCAAGGAGGGGTCGCTATGAGTCGAGTCCGACTCGATGGCACATAACAACAACAACAACATTATAAATTTTAATCATAGAATATGTGATATAGTTTAAATAGCTTAAATGTAATACTTCTTAGATTATATAATTCTAACAATAAATTATTTCATAAAATCTTTCTGCACTGAATTGCATTATTAACCCACTTCCATGGAGTCGATTCAGACTCATAGTGACCCTATAAGACAGAGTGCAAGTGCCCTATAGGGTTTCCAAGGCTGTAAATCTTTATAAAAGCCTACTGTTTCATCTTTCATCAGTGGAGTGGCTAGTGGCTTCCAACTGCCAACCTTTTGGTTAGCTGTCAAATGCTTTAACTACAGTGCCACTAGAACTCATTATTAGTTACAACATTATTAGTAATTGAATAGAACCTTTTTTATTTTCTCCTTTTCCTTTAATTACTTCTTCATTCTCAAAAAAGTTTTTGATATAGATCCATAAATACTAATTACTATAATATAGTAGCTAAAACAACAGAAAATTTGTCATATCAACAACAATAAAAACACCATAGCAACAAAAACAACAATGCCTGCTTGTAGCATGTGCTTAGGAAACCTAGTGATTCAAAGCTTTACTGTAATTGGATATTAATGACAGCTCTGACCAGAGCATATTTGAAGGTTCAGAAAATAAATTAGCATAGAGTTTCAGCCTTGTAGCTATATTGATACATGTAAGCTTGACTTATGAAAAATGCTTTTGTTATTACTAACTACAAGAATATTTTTATAAAAATAATAAATTCCTGCTGAAACACTGCACAAAAATTTTGTAAACAGTCATTTTAGTGTCTCTCCTGAGAGTGTCACTGATGCAGTGTACACCACCCCACCACCACCACCACCACCACCACCATCACCACCACCTCCAGCTATGCCACTGAAACAAACATATTTTAAGAAGGATGATAAATTGAAGAGTGTGGATGTGTAAGCAAAAGACACAAGTGAGAAGCTGTTGGGATAATCTGAATTTAAAGTGATATGTGATTCAATAGAGGAGTTGTAGATTTGGTCCAAACCCCTCTGCTTATCCTCAATACCTTACAGAGGTTAGGGCATCAGGATATAAAGAGCCTATACAAAGCATATCATCTCTCAAGTTGTGCAAACAGGAGAGGAATACACAGTGGTCTTAGATATCAGATTTATATCCCTGTGGAAAAATTTGAGCAAAAATTGAAGCTCATGATCTTCACTGTTCCTCAGGAAGCATACACTTTTGATTCTGCCATATGCCACCCTCTTCCATCTTCCCCTGGCCAGAGTCTACACATATACATTGCTTATATGTAGATAAGCTGGATTTGGCTATTTGTACCATTTTCCTTTTATATTATCTTGCTGTCTCTATTTCTTCCTCAATCTTCTCTGTTTTTACTTATTTTATAGATGAACTTCCATGGGAGACAGAGGACATAGAACTGTCATTTGGTTCTGTTTTGACTCTTGGGGAAAAGTTGTTCTGGACATCTATTATATCCTTTCTTTTCCTAAATTTTCCATTCTCCTTGTTCCCACCCTGTTCCAGGTGCTCAACCTCTTCATTGCCTTGCTGCTCAATTCCTTCAGCAATGAGGAGAGAGATGGAAACTTGGAAGGAGGGGCCAAGAAAACCAAAGTCCAGTTGGCCCTGAATCGGTTCCGCTGGGCTTTTTGTTTTGTGATACATAATCTTAGGCATTTATGTTGCAAGTTGTGCAGGAGGCAAAGCTTATCAAAACAAAAAGAGATTACAGGAGGCCCTTCTTCCCAGAGCAAAGACATCATTCTTCTGGTCACGGAGATGAAAAGGGGCCCAGAGACCCTGAAGGAATTTGGTGCACTGACCTCTGCACCAAAAGCCGTGGGCGATGGGTACAAGCGGACTAGGTTGGCTCCACTTGCAGAGGAAGAATATGACATTGAATTCCCTGATGAAGATATTGCACAGACTGTCACACAACCTGTGTCTGGAAAACAGGTAGGAATATACCCATAGAGACTTAGAGGTCATACAAAGCTGGAGTTACCATAGGATGCTGATTGCCTGCCCTGTTCTGAGCACTATAGGGCTAAGGGGGTGGATATATAAAAGTGACAGTTTCCCCTCGATACTCATGTGCACATTTTCCAAGCATGGTCCTGCACATGTGGCACAGACAAGAGGTGTCAGAGGAGCTCAGAGTGGGGCAAGATCAAAGTGGGTTGAGGCAACAGGGGTAGTAAATGCTTTTGGTTGAGCCCTAAAAGACATATATAGCTTTTGGATTGGCTAAAAGGTAAGGAAAGGAAGTGTGGCAAGTGAAGGGAACCCAGGTGCTTTCCAATTGACTCCAACTCATGATGACTGCAAGTATGTCAGAGCAGAGCTGTGCTCCACAGGGTTTTCAATGGCTGAGTCTTTGTAAGTAGATCACCAGACCTTTCTTCTGCTGTGCTGATAGTGGATTCAAACCATCAACCTTTTGGATAGTAACTGAATGCAAACTGTGCTACTCAGAAGTGAAGGGAATAGCATGTAAAAAAAGAGATAGTAGCAAGAATAAACTCAGTCTCTACAAGGACTTGTTGGGGGTTTTGAGTGGGGGGCAGTGGGAAATGAAGGCTGTCAGGGTGATGGACCCCCTAAATATATGACTGGGGACCCAGGACTTGGTCCTTCATGTAGGCAAGAGCTATTGGTGTATGCTTGAGCAGAGCAGTGCAGTGATAAGTAATTATTTACTTGCCAAAGATAGTTGTCCTTTTTAAAACATGTTTTTGTTTTGTTATAATTTTAAGTAGAGACAAGCATAGGAAACTCCCATAAACTTTTCACTCTGATTCACTACTTGTTAATATCATCTATTGCTCCCTTTGTGTTCCTCTATAAACTTCTCTAATATTTCCTCATGGATAGATTCAGGTTATGCATTTTTGGCAGAGACACCACAAAGGTGATGTGTATCCTTCCCAGTGCATCATATGAGGAGGCACTGACATTCAGTTGTTCCACGGTGGTTGTGTTAATTGACTTTGATCTCTGGTTACGGCGCTGTCTGCCAGGTTTCTTCACTGTAAAGTTACTATTTTTGCTTTTATAATTAATGAGTATATTGTAGGGAGATACTGTTTCTCATCACACTTTCACCCACTAATTTTAACATCTATTGATGATTTTTGCCTAAAGTTATACCACAGTGGTTGTCAAAGGTGATTTTCTAAATTCTATCATTTCATCCACATTCATTACTTGGAATCCTACTATAATGTAAAATTTATGTGCACTGACAGGTACCCATTTTAAGGGTACGATTTGATGAGTTTTGACATGTAAGCCACATCCCTATTAAAAATACAAAAGATTTCCATCATCCCTTCCCAGCCTGCTCCAAGGGCAAGCACTTTTTAAAATTTTTGCCATAGATTTTGCCTTTTGAAAGATTTCATATGAACGGAATAATATATTGTGTACTATTTTATAGCTAGCCTCTGTTGCTCACTTAGTATCTGTGAGATTAATCCATAATGGTTTGTTCTTTTTATTGCTGAGTAATATTCCATTAAATGACTATAGCACAATTTGTTTATTGATTCCCCTGTGAATAGATTGTATTGGGTATTTGGTTATTATGAGTAAACTTGCTATGAACATTCTTTGTACAAGACTTTCTAGGGGACATATGTTTTCATCTCTCTTGGGTAAATATCTAGGAGTTGAATGTCTGGGTTCTAGAGTAGGTATGTGTTTAACATTTTTTTAAAAAAATGAATAGTTTTCCAAAGTTGTTAAACCATTTTACACTTTATTACATTTTACACTAGCAATGTATGGGAGTTCTGATTGCTCCACATCTTTACCAGTGATTGGTGGTGTCATTTTGGGGGGGGAAGAGAAGTAAATTGTAGCCTTTCTAGGGAGTGTTTAGTGGTATCTCATTGTAGTTTTAATGTACATGTCCCTAATCACTAATGATGTTCACCTTTTTTCATTTGCTTATTGGACATTCACATAGCTGTCTTTGTGAAGTGTCTATTCATGGTTTTTTTTGTTTTGTTTTGTTGCCTATTGTTTAAGTTGAATTGTCTTTTAATTATTACAAGTCCTTTGTTCAATATGTATATTGAAAATATTTTCTTCCAGTCTGTGGCTTGACTATTCACTTTTTTAAAGATGTCTTTTGAGGAACAGAAGTTTTTCATTTGAATTTTCATGAAATATAACTTATCAACATTTCATTTTATGGTTATTACTTTCTGTGCCCTCTAAGAACTCTGCCTATACCCAGATGGCAAAGATATCACTTTATCATTCCTTCTGGAAGTTTTATAGCTTTAGCTCTTACAGTTAGGGGTATGACTTACCTCATATTACTATTTTTCAAAACACTTGATCATTTTCTGCTGGCCTCCTCTTTTTTGTATATTGCCTTCCCTTCATCCAAGTTGATATGTGTCTACCCCTAGTTAGTGGTTTTATCCTCCCTTCTCCTCCCACCCCTGGTAACCATCAAAAAAGTATTTCTTTTTGGGTGAAAACTTATCTTGGCTTTTTACGGTAGTGGTCTCATACAATATTTGGCCATTTGTGATTGACTAATTTCACTCAGCGTAATATATTCCAGGTTTATCCATGTTATGTCATATTAATTTTTGTGTATGATGCAAAGTAGGGAACAAAGTTCATTCTTTTTTATTGTTGTGTGTGTGTGTGTGTATACATATATATATATAGTATTTGCAGTTATTTTTAAAGTCAATTTTATTGTGGTATAATTTACATACAACAAAAAGCATCAATTTTAAGAGTACAATTCAATTTGAAAAATGAATACACCCATATAATCACCACCACCATCTAGATAGAGTATATTTCCATCACCTCCCAAAACTACCCTTGCACACCTTCCTATCCAATAACCTCCCCCAGACACAGCACCAGGCAACCATGGCTCTACTTTCTGTTACTATAGATTAGATTTGCCTTTTCCAGAGCTTCTTTCAAGTGAAATTTTATGTTGTGTGTTCTTTTGTACTAAGCTTCTTTTGCACAGCCTAATTATTTTGAGATTCATACATGTTGTTGCATATATGAACATTCATATATAAATAAATTTTTTGTGTGAACATATATTTCTATTTCTCTTGGGTAAATACTTAGGAATTTGAGTGTTGGCTTGTATGGTAACTTTGTATTTAACTTTATATGAAGTTGTCCAACTGTTTTCCAAAGTATTTATAACATATTGCATTCCCTCCAGCAATGTATGAAAGTTCCAGTTGCTCCACATCCTTGGCAAAGCTTAGTGTTTTCAGCTTTTTAATTTTAACCATTTGAGTGGGTGTGTAGTGGCATCATTGTGGTTTCCATTTTAATTTCACTGATAAATAATGATGTGCACATCTTGTACATGCGCCTCTTGACCATTCATCTATTTTCATTGGTGAAGTGTCTACTGTCTATTTTTATTGAGGGATTTGTCTTCTTATTCAGTTGGAAGAGTTCATTACCTATTCTGAATACAAGACCTTTGTCTGATATGTGTATCATACATGTTTTCTACCACTCTATAGCTTGCCTTTTTTATTTTCTTCGTGGTGTCTTTCAATGAACAGAATTTTTTTAAAAAATGAAATATAATTGATCAAAATTCCTCCTACAATTCATCCTTTAGTTTCCATCTTAAGAAATCTTTGTATACCCCAAAGGCATAAAGATTTTCTCTATGTTTTATTTTTGAATTTTATAGCTTTAACTCTCAGGTTCAAATCCATAAGTCATTTCAGTTTAATTTTTGTATATGATGTGACTTGGCAGTTCAAATCCCCTAGCCACTCCATGGAAGGAATACCAGGCAATCTAGTTCTGTAAAGATTTACCACCTTGGAAACCCAATGGTCTCTATGAGTCGGAATCAACTTGATAGCAGTGAGTTTGGTTTTTGGTTTGATATATATCAAGTGATTCCAGGACCATATAATGAAGAGACTTTTCTTTTCCCAGTGAATTAACTTGGTATTTGTCAAAAATCAATTGGCCACATATGTCTAGATCTAGTTCTAGATTTTTAAATTATGTTTCATGAATCTGCACTTCTCTGTATCTTTAAATCAAAATGTTTTGCAATTGTAGGTCCTTTGCATTTACTTATACATTTTTAAATCAGTTTGTCAAATTTTCACAAAAAAATTCTGTATGATCTCACTTATATAAAATATCTAGAGTAGACAAATATATGAGACTGAAGTTTATTAGTGGTTACTAGAGATAGAAAAAGGAGCACTTGTGGCACAGTACCTAAGGCATTTGACTGCTAACCAGAAGGTTGGCAGTTCAAATCCACCATCCTCTCTGGGAAGGAAGATGGGGCAATCTACTTCCGTAAAGATTTACTGCCTCAGAAACCCAATGGGAATCACTATGAATCAGAATTGACTCTATGGCAATGAGTTTGGTTTAAGAGCTTCTGGTAGGGATGATGGAAAAATTTGGAAATGAATAGCAGTAACAGTTGCACAACATGATGAATGTAATCAATGTCACTAAATTGTACATGTAAGAAATGTTGAAATGACAAATGTTTTATTATATACATACTTAATACCATTTGAAAAAAGATGGCTAGGATTTTGGTTGGGATTTCATTGTATATACGGATCATTTTATAAGTAATGGACATCTTAAAATATAGAGTCTTCTGATTCATGGGATGAATATTTATTTAGATCTTCTTTCATTTCTCTTAGGCAATTCTTTGTAGTTTTCAGTGTACAAGTCTTGACATATTTGGTTCAATCTTTCCCTAAATAGTATTTTATGTTGTTGTGTTACTTTTAAATATCAACTCCAGACTATTATTAGAATATAGAAATGCAATTAATTCACTGCCCTCGAGTCGATCCGACTCATAGCAACCCCTCCTTGGGTTTCCGAGGCAGTATCACTGTGGAAGCAGATTGCCCAATCTTCTTTCTGAGGAGTGGCTGGTGGGTTTGATCCGC